AGGCAGCATAACATTCTCATCTGGGAAAAACACAGGGCGCCAGTGGCACACCTGCCAATTCTGGTGTTCAATGGCAAAATGCCAATTAAGCTCTATGGTGCCAGGCAGTGAGCACAGGGCCCACTAGAGGATGTTGGGCCCTCAGACAACCCTCATGAAGTCTGTTTCTGATTGTTTGGTCAGAGACATTCACACCAGTGGCCTGCTAGAGGTCATTTTGTAGGACTCTGGCAGTGCTAATCCCGTTGCTCCTTGCACAAAGGAGCAGATACCAGTCCTGTGATGGGTTAAGGACATTCCACGGCCCTGTCCAGCTCTCCTAGAATAACTGGCTTTCTCCTGAAATCTCCTCCATGCTCTTGAGCCTCTGCTAGGAGACACTGCAAACCTTCTGGCAATAGCATATATTGATGTTCCATCCTGGAGGAGTTGGACTGTCTGTGTAACCTCTGTAGGGTCCAGGTATCGCCTCATGCTACCAGTAGTGATACTGACCCTAGCCAAATGCAAAACTAGTGAAAACCAGAAAAGATGAGTAAGGAAAAAAAATGTCAGTGGCCTCCACCTGCAAAACCATTCCTGTTTTGGGGGTCAACGCATTGTTGCCAATCTAGTGCACCTGTTGTTAATTTTATTCACACCAAAGCAGCTGAAACTGATTAACAACCCCCTCTGCTACTTAACTGACCAGATCAATATCCCAGGAGTTTACTTGATGCTATACTCTGATTGAAAAGTGTTCCTTTAATTTTTTTGAGCAGTGTATTACTTTCCTCAGGGGCAAATTTGTACCTTCTGCTACCCATACAGCATCAGCTGGTAGCCTTTTTATCACAATAACAGTTTTATAGATCATACCTGCACAGGGCATGCTGGGGCTGGTGGAGAAGCTGCAAGGCAATTCAACTACTCTGTGATGATACACCATAAAATTACAGATTGTGCCCTATCTGTTTACTGATGGTCAAGTCAATTCAGCTTTTAAAACAATTTATATCTAGTATATTTTTTCACTACACTACCCAGCTATGGAAGCCAAACTGAGCACTCAGAATAATAAAAAAGGTAATGCTTAAAGCCCCTGTAAGGTATTTTCCATTTTTAGTTGACTCTCTGGGGAGATTTTCCTTCACTTCTCTTGGAGACACAACAGAAAAAAAGGAAACCTCTCCTATCTGGGGCTCCACTCGACCCAGAATTAACAAACAGATTTTATTTGCCCGCAAGACTGAAGGACGGTTGTCTGTCCCGAATCTTCAGGCTTACTATTTAGCGGCTAATATTGCTCCCTTAGCCCATCTTCATGCATCTTGCTATATTCCCTTGTGGGCTACTGTAGACCTGATGGACTCCCACTTGATACCACTCTCTTCTTTGCCGTAGCTTCCCCATATTCATCACCCCTCATTTCTTAATCTGACGTTGACGCATACGCTTCGACTTTGGGATTCTATTAAATATTCCGCTGGTCTCATTTCCGCCCAACTGCCTTTGCTACGTTTGCTCCATAATCCATTATTTCCCCCGGGTTGTGACAATCCTGGACAGTTTGCATGGTGGCTAGCCCAAGGCTTCCACGATGTACATTCTTTGCTCTCTCTCCCACTCGGATACTCACCTTTGAGACTCTGCGTTTCTCTTATGATATCTCAGTGCAGGAGCACTTTGGCTACCTTCAACTCCGCCACTTTATCAATACATTAATACAGGTGCATTCGGGACCCTACAGGTTGACCCCCTTTGAAAGTCAGTGCAGACATAGACCCCATGCTCCGGGCTTAATCTCTCTTGTCTACCCTGCTATTATTTTGTATAGAACGCCCATGGTTCGTTCTTATCGTCAGCATTGGCAGTCGGAACTTGGGGGAACTCTGGATCAGCAAGACTGGCTTATCATGACCCAAGCATTGTCTAAATGTTCAAGGAATGTTACTCTTTTAGAAAATGCATGTAAGGTTCTTTATAGATGGTATTACACACCTGCCCATCTGCCTCGTTTTATCCCCGCATACTCCCCCACTTGCTTTCGGCGTTGTCAACAATTAGGCACCATTGCCCATATTTGGTGTACTTGCCCCACGGTTTGTGGACTGTAGATCAGGGTTTATGCTCTTCTCTGCACTATGTTTCACACAAACATTAAGCACACCCCGAATGAGGCGCTATTATTGAAACCATTAGTGGGCCTACTTCGTCCTGAGCAGCAGCTGGCATCGCATGTATTTATGGCCACCAAACTGACGATCGCGAGGGCTGGGAAGACCCCCCCCCTCCTCAGCTTTGAAGCAGTCAAAAATCAGATGAATTTTATAATGGTTAATGTGAAACTGACGGCTATACTGTTAGACACCAACACAAAGTTTCTGCAGACCTGTCATCCCTGGCTTGATATAGCCCAACCGTCGAGATTTGATCAGACCTTTTGTCGATTTATTAGATTTTTTTTTTTTTTTTCTTCTTTTTCCATCGCAATCCCCTGGAGCCCTTTCTTCTTTGTCTTTTGTCTCTTTTTTTTACTTCGTTCCTCTCTCTCTTTTCTGCTCAGTCTGTTTTCATGATATTTGCGCTGATTGTAATTTTTGTTTTAAGTACCGTAGCAGCAATACTATATCTACCTGTTGGACTTCCTTGGGAGTCCTGAGTATAGAGTACCAATGTGCATCCAGCGAGGCTCTGTGTTCTCTTTCCTGCCTTCTGTATGCAGATTTTGTGATAATCTTTGCTCTTAGTTTATTAACTCATTGGTCTCTAATTGTCTACCATTTTTGCAACTTATTGTTTTATTTTCCCTCTTCATATATTGTGCTTGTGTACTAAGTTTGTTTCCTTGTCTATATATCAGTGCATTCACTGTATTATTCATCAGAAAACTTGTACGGTTTATTTCTGTTGGTCAGTGCTTCTGTTTCTGACTGTTTCTCTGATATTATCTATTCTACAATAAAGTTCCTTATAAAAGAAAAAAAGAAACCTCTCCAAAGTAAGGGAAATTATCTCAGTTTTCACCAACCAAGTTCCCCACTGACATTTCCATTCCTGTTTCCGTTACAACTAAAGATGCTGGATTTAATTTCACTTTCTGTCCTGATGACGGTGGTCATCAGCACATGGGGTGAGAGTTTATTTCCCCAACAGGGACATGGACAGCAATAAAAACCCTAACACCAATTCTTACCCTTCCACCCTCTATCCAACATGAAAAAAAAAAAGATTTTTCGCTTCAAATATACTTAAAGTGTTACTAAACCCACAACAGTAAAAATCAGTCTGTATATGCAGTAAAGCATGCTTGTTATACTCACTGTGGAACCTAAGGGGTTAATCCTCTGCATTATATAAAAACATTGTTTGATCCTGACTACTCTGATTTCCCCCCCCCCTTCTTCTTCCAGTGTCCCCCTCTTATTTACTGATAAGACATATCATGTGGAGTCACTCTGCACATGCTCAGTTTGGTGTGCATTGCTAGAGAGGTTTTTTTCTTGGGATAGTGCATGTTATCAGCACTATCCAGACCGAGGTGAGTGGTCCTGCATCTTCCTGTGGCAGAATGAAAACTCTTACAAGCTTTAAAATGTGCTCGGCTGGACACTGATAGAAGTCACAAGACTGTTCTAAATGCTGATGAGAAAAGGTATTTAGCAGTTTATATTTACTAAAATAATTGCACTTCCATGTTCTGTGTACTGTGGGAAACCAGATATAGTGAATGCAGGGTCCGGGGTTTAGTAACACTTTAAAGAATGAAATGTCACAAAGAAAAGGCTGTCAGAGAAATCTTCTTAAAGTGATTTTCTGGCTATTGACACATGAAACAGCTCAATATACATACAGGTATGTAAAGTTTTTGATATTTTATTAGAAAAATAAACATTCATGCAGTCATTTTTTCATGGAAATAATCCAGAAGTACATAGAATGTATTTTATTATTTTCAGCCTCTTACAATGCAGCCAAAGGCCAATACACTCTACATACAGAAATGTATTAATACGCCATTGCATCAATGATTTTAAGTTATCACAATTCCCATTTAAAAGGAAATCTGGCACGAGAAACATGAAGGCTGCTGTTTCTGCCATCCTCTTCTCAATATACCAGATGCCTGGCTGTCATGTTGACCCTCTAACTTTATTAGTTTAAGTCACTGACTATGGTAAAAAAAAAAATACTGAAAAGGACTTTTCTCTGAATTATCTGATATGCATATTTCTTCCCCATCAGTAATCTAAAATGTACTGAAACTAGAGACATCCAGGCAACAACATTTTCTAGCAGGTAAGCAAAATTGCCCCCTAGGTTTCTCTCCTGACGGTTTCACTTTAAGATATAGTGAATCTGTCATAGGTGAGGCAAGATTACAAAGTTGTAGGACAGCCAATATACTGTAAAACTTATATGAAGTTCCTGCTGCCATTGTCTAGTACCCAGCTGTGGAAAAATCTGTGCTTTTTAGCCTCATTATCATAAGAACACATAGAAGCTGCAAAGGAGCATGACCTCTGAGTGCTTTAAACGTGGTGATGCTCAGATTGAATTTTTTGTTACTTTGTATCACTCATCTGGACACTACAAAACTATGCTACTTGTCCATTTAGTGAATGTCCAAGTGCTCTTGGAGATATTTTAGAATGATAAACCAGCTGCTCTTCACTAATAAATATCTATGTCCTGTCTTTTAGACAATTATAGCTTACTAACACTCAGTTCTGCTCATGGTACACCTGCTTTGAGTACTAACATCACAATACATTTCACATGCAAGTAGACAAAGTCAACAGAAGATGGATATGCATTTAAAACAAGTATGTTTGTAGTACATATGGAGCTGTAAGCTTTTGTTTGCAGCCACTTCCTTCAACTCCTAGAACATACATATATGACGTACAGGAAAGGGACCTTCATACATCATCTATATATGTATTTCCCTGTCAGTGAATGGCAGATCTCAGGATATGATCTGGATTTTCTACTGTTTTGCAGTTCTTCATTCGTGAATGTCACACTGCGTACTCTACTCTTTGTCTGGACATCATCATTGCTCTTTTTATCTGTTCATAAGATACAAACATTACGATGTTCCATGAGCCCAGTCGTAAGAAAGAGGGAACGAACCTGTAGAGAGACAATGCAAAATCAATCATTGTTCTTTTTTATAGTGTTAATTCTATACTGTTATCCAAATAGTATGTATTGGATTTTAATAGGGTAAAATACAACTACCATAATATCAGCTGAGCCTTTAGTGAACATTAAAACAGACATCAATATGCAAATATTGCAGTCATTATACTGAAGCTAGGTTACTATTTTCAATTCTCAGGATGAACTTTTCAGGCTGCACATATGATGGACCAGGGGTGTCCAAACTTTCAAAACAAAGGGCCAGTTTATTGTCCTTCAGACTTCATGTGAGGCTGGACTGTGGCCAGTAGAAAATGCCCCAGCACCAGTGGGTATACACATTGTCTCAGGCTGGGCGGTCAGTCGGAGTAAAAAACTACAAGGCACCTGTGGTCAGTAGAAGGAGGAATAGTGCCCCATCAATGGTATCAGTGGGAGGAATGTGCCCCATCATTAATATCAGTATGAGAAATTATGCCATGTCGTCTATATCAGTGGGAAGAATAGTGACCCATCATTGGTATTATTGGGAGGAATTATGCCTCATCGTCTATGTAAGTGGGAGGAATAGTGCCCCATTGTCAAGTTTCAGGAATAGGGCCCCACTCTTGTCAGTGGAAGGAATGGTGTTCCAAGGGATGGATAAAGGTAAGCAAAGGACCACATCTGGCCTGTGGGCCTCTGGAGACCACTGTGATAGACCATGGCACATCCACTTAGGGTTCAGATAAATACCATCTGATGCTGCGACCATTCTCAAATTCTAATTTGTTCTAAAATGATGTCTCAGTAGCAGTCATATTGTCTCTTCCTATGCAACCAGACACACCTTTGTGCCGCTCCATCTTAATATCTCATGACAGCCCACTCACAGATAACCCCAGTTACAATGATTGACAATTGCTGGCACTGACTACAGGTCAGAATTCTAGGTGGAAAGTTTTTCTGCTATCCATAATAACCAACATGGTTTTAACAGTTATGAAGAAATTACCCTTTATAAAAGGCTGTTGGTCCCTCTTTGGTGAGCATGGTCCATGAACAGTTCAGGGCTGACTTGTACTGTCCAGGTGGAGAGTTCATGTATCGGGTTTTTACCACATCCACTGGGGAAGCGATGACAGTTGTGCAGAAGCCAGCTCCAAATGCAGACACAAAATGGCAAGGAAGGTTATCTAAATAAATAAAAAACATATGAATGCCATATTAAAATCAATAACTCACTTTTTGGGAAAAATATATATACATGTGGAACTATTATTACCTGTCATTAATTTGTGGTTCAGTAAAGCTTCCTTTATCAGGTCATAGGTCACAAGCTCGGTGCAGTTGACGATTGCGTTCCTTGTCACATTTGGAAGAGTTCCTGCAAGACACAAATTGATTGATTCATTTTAGATTTGCCTGAAGTACATTGTATATCATATTATGCTATTAGAGGAAAAGGATCTGACATATGACTGGGCAGCCCACTGCTCCAGTGGTCTCTTTAAATTTAGTCAGCCTTCGATCACATTTTCTAACAAAATAATTATAGCTGTACCCATCTCTCTTTCACGACACTTCTGTGTATCCATTATTTTAATCTGATTATAAACTGAGCCCTTTTCTAGTAATGCCAGATTTATTTTCTAAAAATAGTTACATAAATAGGTTGAAATAACTACACCAAAAATGTCCATTTAGTTAAACCAATACAATAAAGCAAACAAATAAAAATCATACGCACAGTTGATCCAGCGGAAAGCAAAACCCTCATAAAACATGATCCAATTTGCTCTAGCAGGTGAAAAAATTCCTTTCTGACACCCCCCAGGAAGCAATCAGATAATCCCTGGATCAGCTATCCCTGATGTTATTACCTAAATATGTCTTGGAAATGATTACACCTCTGACCTCTTTAATGAAATTCTATATGAAAGAGATAGGATATTTTTGTATAGCTTTTTATGTATACATTTTGCATATGTACCTTTCCAAAGACCTCTCATTCCTTCTCCCCTGGCAATGGTTTTGTAGGCATTCAGAGTACCGCTGTATCTCTTCTTCACTCCATGAAGGTTGACCTGCGCTTGAAATCTGACTTTCACCACATCTGTTGGTTGGGCAATGGTAACTGCCAGTGCCCCTGTTGTACATCCAGCCATTATCCTGTGGATGATGCTTGCTTCTGCAAATAGAGAAATACACAGTGCTTACAAATGGCCCTACAATAAATTATTATGAGAAAAGCAGGAGTGATACATTCATAATACATGGCTTTTGTTACTAGTTATAGACTTACTCTCTTTCCCGTTGGTGTAGAAGAGTTTCACTGTATCATAAAGACCAATTCGAATGGAGGCGAAGCTCATTTGTCTCTGCAGTCCAGCCACTAACCCATTGTATAGGCTCTTTGGACCTTCTGTCTTGATGATGGTGCTGATGGTTCCAAATACTCCTTTGTAGCGGATGCCATTCATTACTCCAGTCATTGCTGACTCTCCTTGGATCTTAAATAGGAATGTAATAAAGACATGACCATTTGCTTTACTCTAAAATTCATCATACATGTAATAAAAAAAAATACACATGTCTGGTTAGAGCTGGACTAATAAGCCCATACTTCATACAGGTAGCTCAATACAGACATGCATTGGGGTAGATTTACTATAACTGACGCACTAAGAATCTGTTGCAGCTGTGCATGGTACCCATTCAGATTTTAAATTCAGCTTTTTCATTTAACCTTCGGCAATAAGACCTGGAAGCTGATTGGTTTCTATGCACAGCTGCACCAAATTTTGCACTTTCCAGTTTTAGTAAATCTCCCCCATTATGTTCTTTACATAGTTCACCAAAAGCCATTGAATACACCTGAACCGCTCTTACCTGCAGTCTGACTTTGGCTGTGTCCAATGGGAAGGTAAAGAGATCAGCTATACATGCAGCTGTGCCTGCACCAATGAATTTGACAGCTGGTGTTGGGGGGATGTCAGAGGGTCTCAGTCCAACCATTTTGGATTTATTTATTCAAAGCTGCACAGGAACAGAATATGAAATAATAATCAATACTCCTGCAGAGCTCATTTTGAGTATTTAGACTGCCATTACTTAGCAATAACTATATTTATGATTTCTTAGGTAGCATGCAGCCCTTGATTCACCAGTTGCAATCACCACTTGAAGTCAGAAACAAAAATTACAGAAGAAAAGTCAGACATTTACTTTGCATAATGAGGTTTCTTCTAAGCAGGTTTAGAAGAGGTAATGGATTACATGCAGGTTATATTCATAGAGGATTTAGCAGTATAATGCTGCTACTTACTTTTCAAACTGGGAAGAATGTCTGCTTGGTCTTCCAGCTGCTTCTGGGCTTCCCTGGGACTATCCATAGAAGAGGGCTCCTTATATCCTGGCAGCCAGCTGTGATGTCATCCAATGGGAGCAGCTCAGGAGGAGGCATTACCTGTGACAGGTGTACACACCCCTCTACTGGGCTCAGCCCTCAAGAAAGCAACATTCCTTTGACCCAACAATTCCAGTTACATGTTATGTACCACATAGGATATAATAAGGCACAAACAAACCCCATTAATTAAGGTGAAGGTCATTGTTTTAAAGTCCACAAAAAAAAGTTATTCTGTTAAACTCTTTAGTGTTGATACATTTTATTCTAAAGATTTGCAGTGGGGCAGTGCCCATACTGCAAGGGTTAATTGCTTGTTTAAGTCTAGAAGATATAGAAAAGAAGGTCTACTTAACTGATCCTCTGGGATACTAGATCGGTCCCCGCAGTGTCTTCTGCCCCATGCTCTGCCGGTTTAAGGCCCTGATGTCAAGACCTAATCAGAGTCCATAGCCCTGCATTGGACGTGATGATGCTAAGTCATTCCATTGACAGAGCGTAGAAACCTTCATCTCTCGGGGAGTGGAGGATCAGGTAAGTAAAATGCTTTTACTAAGCAGCCTGACTGCAAAGGAGGATTTTCATATTTCCTGGAATTGGCCTTCAAGGGTGCAGTGGGTTTACAATAGCTCCTAAACGGGATACAGAAACATCTTCAACCATAAAAAAAGTTTTAAAAAATAGAGAGTAGATTGGTTTTTATTTCAAGCTAATTTTGCCTAAAGTCGGCTATACATCGATCGAAATTCGGCTGGTTCACCAGGGACTGGCTGAACTTCGATCCATGTACGGGCAGGCTGGTTGTACAGAGGTTTATCTACCCCTGCTGAATTTTGGGGTCTGTGCACAATATATGGTCATTATGAAGGAATTATGCTCTCTCTGCTTGATCTTTAAGCAATATATATTATTAATGTGGTTGTAAAGGAAAAACAAAAAAATAAATAAATAAAATAACAAACATGTACCTAACTGCTCTGTGCAATAGAATTGCAACAGAGCAACCCCAATCCTCCTCTTCTCAGGTTCCCCACCAGCGCTCCTCAGCTCTTGCTGGTGCCCCGAATAGGAAGCCGACTGCTATGCATCCATTGACATAGACCGTGAGACTGTGCTATCCCTCATCAGCCAATGGCTCCTGCTGCTATCAATCTGCTCAGTGAGGAGGGACAAAGCCAGGAGAGCAGGAGCTCTCATGCATAGCACTGGATCGCAATGGGGCTCAGTTAGGTATAAGGGGGGTCTTTTCCACAGAGGGTTTTTTTTACCTTAATGCATTCAAAAAACTTGAGGCTCTAGAACCACTTTAAGATTGCATTAGGAAGATAGACTCTTAGGGATTCCCAGATGGACAGGAATTATGGCAAGGAGATATGGCTATTGGAAATATCCAAGTTATATGAGAGGTCAAGCTCCAGCTGTAACTGACACTGTATATACACTGCTCAAAAAAACTAAAGGAGTCAGATATAGCATCACGTCAATGAAACTCCTGGGATATTGATTTGGTCAGTTGAGTAGCCAAGGGGGTTGTTAATCAGCTTCAGCTGCTTTGGTGTTAATGAAATTAACAACAGGTGCACTAGATGGACAACAATGAGATGATCCACAAAACAGAAATGGTTTTACAGGTGGAGCCCAATGACATGTTTTCCTACTCATCTTTTCTGACTGTTTTTCACTAGTTTTGCATTTGGCTAGGGTCAGTATCACTACTGGTAGCATGAGGAGATACCTGGACTCTACAGAGGTTGGACAGGCAGTCCAACTCCTCCAGGATGGCACAGCAATACGTGCCATTGCCAGAAGGTTTGCTGTGTCTCCAAGCATAGTCCCAAGAGCATGGAGGAGATTCCAGGAGACAAGCAGTTACTCTAGGAGAGCTGGACAGGGCCGTAAAAGGTCCTTAACCCATCAGTGGGACCGGTATCTGCTCCTTTGTGCAAGGAGGAACAGGATGAGCACTGCCAGAGCCCTACAAATTGACCTTCAGCAGGCCACTGGTGTGAATGTCTCTGACCAAGCAATCAGAAACAGACTTCATGAGGGTGGCCTGAGAGTCTGACGTCCTCTAGTGGGCCCTGCGCTCACTGTCCGGCACCATAGAGCTCAATTGGCATTTGCCATTGAACACCAGAATTGGCAGGTCCGCCACTGGCACCCTGTGCTTTTCACAGATGAGAGCAGGTTCATCCTGAGCACATGACAGACATGAAAGTGTCTGGAAAAGCTATGGAGTAACGTTATGCTGCTTGTTACATCATTCAGCATGACCGTTTTGATGGTGGGTCAGTGATGGTCTTGGGAGGCATATCCATGGAGGGACACACACAAACCTCTACAGGCTAGACAATGGCACCCTGACTGCCATTAGGTATCGGGATGAAATCGTTGGACCTATTGTCAGACCCTATGCTGGTGCAGTCCTGGGTTCCTCCTGGTGCACGACAATGCCCGGCCTCATGTGGTGAGAGTATGCAGGCAGTTCTTGGAAGATGAAGGAATAGATACAATTGTATTGCCCCCACGCTCGCCTGACCTAAATCCAATAGAACACCTCTGGGATATCATGTTTTGGTCCAGTCGATACTGCCAGGTTGCCCCTCAGACTGTCCAGGAGCTCAATGATGCCCTGGTCCACATCTGGGAGGAAATACCCCAGGACACCATCTGTCATCTCATTAGGAGCATACCCCAATATTTTCAGACATGCATACAAACACGTGGGGGAAATACAAACTACTGAGTACCATTTTGAGTTGCTACAATAAGATTTCAGAAAAATGGACTAGCCTGCTGCATCATTTTTTCTCTTTGAATTCAGTCCTCTGTAGGTTGATAATTTTCATATCCATCAAACAATGGGGCATCCTTACGTTCCTAACGCATTACCCAGTCCATATCAGTATAGATATCCAGCATGATATTTTTCCCCATTGAGATGTGATGTGTTTTCAAAGTGTGCCTGTAACTTTTTTGAGCAGTGTATACTTTAATGGACTGGCCCTTTTTTTAATCCCACATTGACAAATTCTCTTTTAATAAAAGGTGGTTAAAAACTTTAGCAGTTCACAGTATCTTCATCTTTGATATATATATATATATATATATATATATATATATATATATATATATATTATATGTGTGTGTGTGTGTGTGTGTATGCTGTAACTTTCTATCTATCTGTCTATCTTAGCACACATAATATATACATCACAAATCATTTATGCTCTATCAATTCAAACTACTGTACACTATAAGAAGAATGAATTCCAAGGCAGAAAATGTTAAAGAAAATAAAATACATACATGTCTTAAAGATTCTGGATACTGCATTGACTAACATCCTTATGATTAACACTCATGTTATAGGTCTGTATCCTATAATCTTGGCTGATCACAAAATATAAAAGAAAAGGTCACGTTATTTTACATACTCCGGTATGTGATGTCCTATATACATTAGTCATCTTTTCCATCTAGTTTTCTCTTAGCTCACAGTCCATGGTCTCCTGCCACCTAGACATTCAGAAAACCAGCTTCTATCTCTCAGTAGAGGCTCGTCTGTGTCAGCCAATGAAAGAAGAGGCTTGTGCGTTTGCTCCAATCAGTCATTGACAATCTCCCTGGGATGACCCTAAAGTCTTTCTGATGAGACAGTACAGGGGTGTGTGACGCGATGGGCGCCCAGGCCAAAAAAACAACTTTCTTAATCAGTAACCTGCCCGGTACAGAGATCACTTCTTTAAACCTGTAATGACTGATAGCAGCAAGGAAAACACCTTGTTTTCTGCACTACCGGTACATTTCCTTAACACCACTGCTATTGCAGCACATATATTCTGTACATTTATTATAGCATACCACCAGTAATAAGAATATGACCAGTGACACATTGAAAGCAGTATTAGGCTACATGTACTGTACACTGGAACACCCCTAAAAGCAGAAAGTTTTTTCTGCGTTTAGTGCTGGGATATTTATTCATTTCATTGGCCAGAGTATTTGCAACTGAAATGAATAACTGCCAAGGCGCTAAACAAGGCTAGCACGTTTGCACTCATTTTTGCCACGTTTGGCGGCTTTTTTCCAAAACGTTCCTCTCCTGAAAGCGATTTTTCAGCGTTCAGGAGAGAAGCGTTTTACTGCCTCTGAATGCTGCTGATCTTAAACTCTTCTAAAAGCCTATGTGTGCATGGACACATAGGCTTTTATTGAGTTGAGTTCAGGGGCTTTGACAAAAAAACACCAAAAGCTCGAAAACTCACCTTTAGGAGCAGCAGTGCGCATGAGGTTGTAAATCCAAAACTAAAGATGTAATATATTGCAGCTTACCAATCATTCAATGTTGTGGCTGCATTAGTTTTCTTTAGCTTTTTTCCGTCTGTTTTCACCTGGTGACGGTGCCAGTAACATGCCACCTATATTAGTGCAACACAACTCTGCAGGAATGAACACAGGAGGCACAGCAGACAGCAGCTTTGTCAATAGGGGAGGGAGGGGAGTGGTAAATATACCATCAGTTTTAAAAACAATAACAATTCTGCAGAAGAATTTCTCCCCCTAAGGAAGATTCAAAGTATGAATTGAAACGTGTCAGAGTTACATT